AGCCCAAGAGACAGAAAGGGCCATGTAAACCAGAGACTTCATCAGCCTGAGACCAGAAAAACTAGATGGTGCCCAGCTACCACCAATGACCACCCAACAGGGAACACAACAGAGAGTCCCAGATGGAGCAGGAGAAAGATGGGTGCAGAACTCAAATTCTGGTAAGAAGACCAGACTTAATGGTCTGACTGAGACTGAAGGAATCCCAGAAAGCATGGCCCCTGGATTCTCCATCAGCCCAGAACTAAAACAATTTCCAAGGCCAACTCTTCAGACAAGGTTTGGACTGGACTGTGCGACATAAAGTGATACTCGTGAGGAGTGCGCCTCTTAGCTCAAGTAGACACAGAGACTAAATGGGCAGCTTCTGTCCAGAGGTGAAATGGGAAGGCACAGAGGGTTAGAAGCTGGTTGAATGGACATGGGGAATTAGGGATGGAAAGGAGAAATGTGCTGTCACAACATGGGGAGAGCAATTAGGGTCCCATACCAATGTATGTATAAGTTTTTTATGGGAGACTAACTTGAAATGTAAACTTCATTTAAACTACAACAATAAAAAAATAAAAAATAATAATAAAAATTAAAAAAAAGAAATACAGCCAGAGTGCTCCTTGGAAGCAAGGATGGCGAGACTTCGTCTCACATACTTTGGACATGTTATTGGGAGGGACCAGTCCCTGGACAGGGAAATCATGTTTAGTAAGGCAGAGGGTCAGTGAAAAAAAGGAAGACCCTCAATGAGATGGACAGACACAGTGGCTTCAATAATGGGCTCAAACATAGCAACAATTTTAAGGATGGCACAGGAACAGGCAGTGTTTCGTTCTGTTATACTTAGGGTCACTGTGAGTTGGAACTGACTCTTGACAGCACCTAACAACAAGTGAGTAAGAATCAATACGTGTGAAGTTCCCACCAGTGCCCCAGGAGAGTAAATGTGAACCTCCACCTCAGTTCGATTTTATGAGCGTATGCTGAGTGCGTCCTGGTAAGCATTTCACATGTATTACCACGTTCTTGCAAGGACCTCATTCCCTCCAATCAGGGAACTGCAGAAACAAAAGATGAAATGTTCTGCAAGGTCCCAGAGCTAGTAAGAGGCAGAGACAAGATCTGAACTACAAGATTCATGCTGCTGCCTACAGGCCCTCTGAAGCCCCTGGTGCTCAGCTCTGATGCCCACCCACACATGCCCAGCCTTTGGGCCCTCTTCTCTCCAACCCACTGTCCCATACCCTGCCTCTCTACAGACCTTCAGCCTCTCATTCTCCAGCTTGAATGCAGAATATTCAGCAGTCTGACGGTGTAGTCTCTCCACAAGGCTGTCCCGGTCTTCTCGCATCTTCTCCTCCAAGGTTTGTTGTTGGTTTACCAGATCTGTCACCCGGCTGGCAGGTCACAAAGCAAAAGCAGACAGAGAGAATCAATTACACAGTTTCTGAGGAGCCAGGGTCTCTGTGTGGAGTGGGCCAGCTGTTGCTACCCATGCCACGTCATACCTCTTGGTACCCTGCCTGCTCCCCAATCTCAACCCCAAGAGGTAGCTGCACTGCCCTTCCTTGGTGTCGCTGCTTGTGGCATTCCTGTGGCTGTATCCCACCTCTGAATAAAGTTCTTTAAGATTTGTCTCCCATACCAACTCCCTCCAAGAAGACTTCTATTCTATGATAAGAATAAGGTTGAGACACTCCCTGAATGCAAGGACCTCAGACACATTGCCTTCCTAGCCCCTCACAGCACCTCCCCGGATCTTATAATCCATTCAGCTTCAGCAACATAAAGATCCCGGGAACACAGGACAACAGGGCCTGTCAACTTCCTGGTCTCAATGTTCAGACAGAATTTTTCTGGAATCCTTCCCTAAACTCCCAGGCTGGGTGGCCAGGGATACCTCTCATGCATTCCTTTCCATCTCAGCACTTATCACACTGGCTTCACTTGTAATTGCTGGCTTACTTCTATCTCTCCCAGAGGAAGGCAGGTGCCATGCTTGGCTAGTTCATGCATGTGAATGCCCACCTAGCACAGGCAGGAAATGCAAGGAGTGTGTGTGGGATGAAGACACACATGAAGGGAAAGAAGTCACCCAGAAGCTGGCTGCCCACCTTGCCCTGGTTCCCAGCAGAGGCTGTGACCTCAGAGATCATGGGGGCTCACAGACCTCTAGATCTCTCTTGACAACAGACCCAGCACAGGACCTTGCACAGTATGTGCTCTCACTGTTGATCAATTACAGTTCACCCATCAGCAAATATTTATTGAACACTGACTAGACCAAAGCAAAAACACCGTGCTATTTTATCTGGTAAGGTTCTGAGGACTTCCCCTCTTCAGGCCATCTTCCCCAAACCTTCTTCCCTCTGTATCATGCATCCTTCTAGTTTAATTATGTGTTTTTTTCCACTAGACTGAGAATTCCCTGAGGGTAGCACCTGGCAAAGGGCCCCCTGCACACAGCAGGTTCTCAGGGTATATTTGTATATCTACCTCCTTAGGGAAGACTTACCTGACCTGGAGACTATGGTGGGTCATAGCTCCCTCTGTGACCCATCCTTAGCCCAGAGAGTCTAGGTCTCTTGTAGCCCTGTCTGCTCCTCTAGAGTACAGGGTAACTCCATGAGGGCAGGGACCACACTTGTCTCTTACTGTTGTAAACCTAGAGGCTAGATGGTCTGGCATATAGTAGATGCTCAATAACTATTTTGAATGAAGGAATAAATGAATATGGGTGGCACTGACAATGACTGGTTACTGCTGACAATTCAAGGTGTGAGCTGAAGTCACCTGCAACTTGAAGGCCACTTCTGCCCCCTCCTCCTATGCCATAGCACTGACCTACTGACTGAAGACACAGGGATCATCAGCTGCCTTATCTCCCAAAAAGAGGAATAAAAATGAAATGCCAGTGTGCCCATTTCCCATGCTGTGCAGACTGGGAACAGAAGGTGATGCTTTCAGAGCCTGCAATCAGGCCCAGGCCTCTGTGACCGATCAGAGAAGCCCAGCTCCTCCACAGTGCCTGCTAGGGCAGGGCTGGAGCCTATACCCCAGCTTCAATCAGAAAGCCTGGCTCAGGGCTGCTCACATCTCAGCCCAATGCAGTCCCTGACCAGCGGAGACCAAATAGTAGCCACATGAGCTGTCAGACCACCAGGCTCCTTTCACCTGCACACCCAAGTCTCTCAGTTAGCCCACCCTCCCTCTCCTAACACAAGGACGTACTCGTTAAGGACGATAATTTCCAGCTCAAGGTCTCCCTTGTCTTTCACAACTTGGTTGTAGCGGCTCCTCCATGATTCCAGAGTCGACAAAGCTTCAGCAACATAAAGATCCTGGGAACACAGGACAACGGGGCCTGTCAGCTTGGTGGTCAGCAACGAGGCCTCAGGGAGCCAGGGGCTGGCCTCACCTTGAATGACCCCTCACCCTAACAGCTTAAACCTCACTCCTGCAATTCACCTTTCTGGAGAACACAGAGTGATAATGGGAGCCCAGCTCCTAGATTGCCAGCTATCACACACATCCACTTGGCAAATCCTTCTTTAACCATCATAATATTTATGTGGTTAAACTGTCCAACCACCCCTCCCATCATCTCCAGCCATCCACCGTGATCCCACCCAACCACCTCCCCCTCTGCCGACCACCCACCCCACCGGCTCACACCCCCTTTCTACCACCACCTGGTCACTTCTATCTAGCTTTTCCACCACTACTCACCTATTCATCCACCAAACCAGCTCCATTTACCCACCCACCTGCTACCTGTCTATCCATCCACTCCCACCTCCATCATCATGCAATGCTCCTCAGGGCAGATGAGAAGTTGGGCCACCCCTATGCCTGCTACCTTGTCAGCAAGTTGCACGTGCAGGTGCTCGGCGTACTCCTCGCTCTTCTCGGCTCGCTCCTTTTGGGCTCGGATGGCCTTTTTCAAGGTTTCTTTGTCTCGGTCTCCCTTCTGCTTCAGTTCCTTCAGCTGCTCCATGATGGCCTCCACTTCCGCCTTGTGCTGGTTCCCACTGCGTTCCAGGTTCTGGCGCGGGGGGGGCGGTGGCGCGGAACAAATGAGGAGAGAGGGAAAGGGGGCAAGGAAGAGAGAGACAAGAAAGGCAGGGGGAAGACAAGGCAAGAGAGCCACAGAGAGAAATAGAGAAAAAGAGACAAGCAAAACAAGGGAGTAGGGCAGACAGAAAACAGTCAGCAACTGTGTAGGGGCTGTGGGCTCGGGCTCCCCTGATGCAGACCACAGAAACAGTTCCTTCTAGCTCCCCATGCCCACCTGGCACCTTTCCACCTTTTATCCCACAGAGTCTCAATGACAGGACAGAACTCCTCTGGAATTCTTCCCCCTGGCATTTCTCTCCATCTCAGCACTTACCACACTGGGGTGTAACTGCTGGCTTGGGTTCTGTCTCCCCAGGGGAGGGCAGGTGCCATGCTAGGCTTGTTCACATGTGTGAATGCCCATAGCATAGGCAGGAAGGGAAAGAAGCCAACACAGGAATGGGTTGCCCACCCTGCCCTCACTTCCTTCCCTCCTCCATCAGGTACTCAGCAGGGCTGTACCAGTCAAACAGAGGCCGTAGCCTCAAAGGATCTTTGGGCTCACATTTGAGACCTCAGTGTTCTAGTCAGATGAACTGCAGGCCTAAGGAATTAAGTGATTGGCCCACGGGCATGGCACCCAAGGCTTCCAGGGTCTCTGTTCACTGCCCCTGCCACTGTCCCCAGAGTCCCTCTGAAGCATGAGTGCTTTGGCGGCAGCTGCCCCATAAACTTTTGGGGCAAAGCCTTGCTGGGAGTGATACTCATGGCTACCACCTTCCTTAGATTCCCAGGCCCTTGCCTCCTCCCTCCCTGCTTATAGGGCCAGCAGGTACCTTGATCTGCATGCACAGGCGACTGTTCTCAGCCTCTTTGCACCGAAGCTGAGCCTGCAGATGCCCACGCATGGACTCCATGGACTTAGAAAGCTCAGATGCTGTCTTTGCTTGAGCCTTTGGAGAGACAGAGAAAGTGACAGAGCCAGGCTTGGAACCCAGCTCTCCAACTCCAGAGTGTACTCTCTGAACCACTAGGCTCCGCTGGCTCATAAAACAGAGCAACTGTAAGGGATGGTACCTTCTCACATTGAATTTCCTGGAGTAGCTCTTCGACTTCCTTATCCTTGTCTTGCAGTAGTAACAGCAGGCGCTGGGAGAGAACACACACTGTCACGTGCTCCCTGGGAAGGGAGAGGAGGCCCAACCCAGGGGGCAAGGAGACTCCTGTGAATGTCTGGCCACCAGGGCCCAAGGGCCCAAGTACATTGGCCCTTGTCGCAGAAATCCATTTTTTTTTTTTAACAAGCATGTTATTTATTATGCTGTTTTTTAAGAAGTAGCATTAATTGTAGAAAACAATGAAAAACACCCAAAAATCTCTCAAGAATCCCTATAATCCCCCACCCAGATACTCACTGCTAATAAATGTTACAAAAGTCGTGAGCATATTCTGTTCCATAGCCTACAATCTCACATTTACCATAATATGATTAAATCCTCTACATCTTTTGAAACAGCTGTTTAATGTTTCAATTTACTAATGTATCATAATCTAACAAGTTCTTGGCAACATGATGAACAAATTTAATGTCACTGAACTGTACACGTGAAGATTGTTGAAATGGCAAATGTTTTACCTATATATTTACCACAATTAAAAACAAACAAACAAAAAAAGCCTTGATCTGGGAATACAGGTTTAGGAATTATCACCAGGATTACTCAATCTCCATGCCTTGCTCAGGTCGACATTTTCCACAGTGATATTTGGCCAGGCATCAAGGGCCAAGGGCCAAACCTTGGGAAACGTGGCCTCCATATTCCTTTCCTCCCTTGGACACTCACAATGGGCATTAATACATCAAGGATTCCAAAAGGTCTTAAGAAACCTATTAGACTTTTTGTCCAGGCCAGCTAGTAGTTTCACAAATTTATATGGCCACGGAATCCCTTCACCTTTTCTTTCTTCCACCCGTTAACATCTTGAGGAACTTAGGGTTATATGGGATAGTCTTCGCAACATGCTGCCTCGGGAGAAATTCCTAGAATTGGAATTGTTGAGTCAAAAGGTATATACCTTTTGATGACTCTTAATCCATAATACAAATAAGAAAATCCAGGTAACAGAACCCTGATGATCTATAAATCTATCATCATTATCATCTCTCATGTGGTATCCAGCTTTGTGGTTCAAGCTCTCAAATGATCACCTAGACAAGCCCAGTGGAGCAGGCAGGACAGGGGACATCACTCTATTTTACAGATCATAAAACTAAGGTGGGGTAGGGGGCACTTTATGTTACCGCTTTCTCTGAGTCGGCCTCCGCCAGCCGTTTTAGCAGTGCTCCTTGTTGCTCCATTAGCCTTTCTGAATCCTTCAAGGGAAGGCAAAAGGAAAGCCAAGTCATCAAGCAATACACTCAGATGTCTACATTCTATTGATTCTTTTCCTTTTCCAAAAACTATATTTCTAATTATAGAAGTAATAAAGTTTAAAAAAGTTTAAAAGAAGTTTAAAATATTTAGTGAACACCAATAAAGCTAAAGTCGCCCTCACACCCACCTCCAACGGTTATCAATTTGATGCGTTTTCTTTCTCTATGTATTTACATATAGCTACACCTAAAAAAATGTTACCATTTTTTAAGGGGTAGGTAGGGAGAGATTCATGTGTGTTTTCACAAAAAATGGTATCATATTGTATTTTTGTGCTACAACTTGATTTCTTTTCCCTTAACAATACATCTGGAGACATTTCCATAGCAATAAGAATCGATCTATCTCATTCTTGTTTGTTGGGGTACAGCTTTTCAGCCTATGGATATAGCCCTGCATTTTTTACCTCTCCTTTACTGATGGAGCCCTGGTGGCACAGTGGTTAAGCAATTGGCTGCTACCCAAATACCCAAAGGGCTGGCAGTTCGAATCCACCAGCCGCTTCTTGGAAACCCTATGAGGCAGTTCTGCTCTGTGCTATAGGGTCACTATGAGTCAGAATCAACTGGATGGCAAGGGGTTTTTGGTATTACTGATAGTATTGGGGTTATTCCCAGGTTTTGCAACTACAAACATTGTAGCAATAGTCACTGGGCGTGTACAAAGTGTCTCTCTAGGGTTGATGCTAAGAAGAGGAAATTGCTGGGTCAGAAGGTTTGTGATTTGTGACTGTACTAGATCCTGCTGTACAAAATGCCTGTGCTGATTCTTACTGCCATAACCAGGGCGTGAGCACTGGGTTCCCCACACTCACCAGCACAGGATAATAGCAAGACTTTGCCTGTAGGCAGTCTTTGCCAGTCCCTACTGTTTAATTTGCATTTCTCTAATTACCAGTGAGGGCTGGCATCTTTTCATATGTTTATTAGTCGTCTGAGTTACCTCTTCTCTGAACTGCCTGCTTACATCCTTGCCCACTGGGCTGTGTCTTTGTGAACCATCCCTGTTCTTCTTGGGCACCAGAACAAAATGTCCCTTGAAGGAGGCCACCCTCCCTTTCTTTCTCAGTCCTGCATGCCCTCTTCACAAGCCAAGACAGAAAGGCTCCCTGGATCCCAAAGTTTCTTTGGGGACCAAGAACTGGCAGAAGAGAGCACTGTGGTTTCTCCAATAACAAGAAAATGCAAAGAACACAGGACAGATAGTCTAGACCAAGGACCCAGAGCCTGAAGCTGCTCTCACTGCCCATTATACCCATGCACTCCCGTGCCTCCAGGGGACACGAAACAACCTGACTCTTCTGCTGTCCTAGGTGCACGCGATCTCACCAAATTCCCTACTCTAAGAGCCACGCCCTATTACCATCCCCATTTTACAGATGAGATTGAGGCTCCGAGAAGTGAGGTAAGCTGTCCAAGGTCACACAGGTGGAAATGTCAGAGTCAGGGCCCTGAAGCCAACTCTGACTGCAGAGCCACAGCAGTCTCCCACAATACTGAAGGCTCCCCACTAAGCACGGAGATGGTGGGGGGCCAGGGGCTACTGAGTGCCAGATGGGCACTGAGGAGATCAGAGCCTGGAACCAAAGAGGAACACCTATTCTAGGTGTGAGTCCAAATTAGCTAACCCTTCAACTCTAGTTAGAGGTTCTGGGGATTCTAGGATGGTAGAAGCCAAGACGTCGAAAAGGAGAAGGGGTTTTCTGAAGGCACCAGTCTCAGCACAAAATAGCAGCAGCATCTGCCATTTACCAAGCACCTATTATGTGCCAGGCAGCATGCGAGTCCCTCGTTCACACACACATCATTGCTAATTCTCACATCAACTCCATGTAGAAAATGTGATTCCCATTTTACAGGTGGAAAAACTGAGGCCCAAAAGAGATAAAAATCTGTCCCAGATCACTGAGCCAGAAACAAAACAGGTACCATAAAAGTATTTTAGAGAATAATTTGGCCATAACTAGTAAAATTGATAGAAATATTCTAGAAACTCTCAAATAAGTATACCTGGACAGTGTATTTGAATGCTTGAAGTAACATTGTTTATAATAGCAAACTACTGAAAACATACATGTAGACCAACAGAACAATGGATAAATAAATTGTGGTGTAGACATAAATGGAGTCCTGGTGGCACAGTGGTTAAGAGCTCAGCTGCTTACCAAAAGGTCAGTTAGAATCCACCAGCTGTTCCTTGGAAATCCTATGGGGCAGTTCTACTCTATCTTATAAGGTCGCTATGAGTCAGAATCAACTTGACTACAATGGGTTTGCATTGTTTTTGCTAGTCATAAATGGATAATAGCAGAGAACGGTAATGATCTTAGACCTCAAGGATAAAAACGTATCAAGTTAATAAAAATAATGTTAGTGAAAAAAGCAAACTCAGAAGAACACACACGGAACAATATCATTCATATAAAGTTTTAAAATATGCCAAATAATACTACATGTGGCTTAGGGATACATATGTGATACAAACCATCAAGTTCAAGATATACAGGTTCCCTCTGAGGAGAGGGAGACAAGATTATCAGAAAAAAAGAGGCAAGCAGGATTTAACTAACTACATGGACAGGTTTTATTTCTAAAGCTGGGCAGTATGTACACTACTTTGCTCTGTATTATATATCCTAAACATGAACTTTTAAAAAATAAAGACAAGACACTGACAACATTTCATAAGACATTGAACTAAGAAAAATGTGATCATTTTATCAGCACTGGCATTTTGAGGCGCTTAGCATCCCTTTGGAAACTCTGGTGGTGTAGCGGTTAAAAGCTATGGCTACTAACAAAAAGGTTAGCAGTTCGAATCCACCACGGGCTCTTTGGAAACCCTATGGGACAGTTCTACTCTGTCCTATAGGGTTGCTATAAGTCGGAATCAACTTGAGGGCAACAGGTTTGGTTTTTTTTGGTTTAGCATCCCTTTGGTTTGACTCAAACAGGAAGAAGACCATTTATACTGTGTTAAGTCTTTTCAGAATAATTTGCTAACATAAAATATGCTTCGAAGAACATCTTTCAAGAAAACAAAATGATCCCACACAATCTGGGTCTGTCATCCACTCATCATTCTTTTAAAAAAAGGGACATGAACTTGAGCCCAGTACTCTCCTAGGTTTGCCACACACTCTTGAAAATGAGCTGAAATCCTGACTCCCCACTGCCGCTATTCTAAGGTCCTTCACGTGCCACCTGGCCCAGTTTCAACAACAACTAAGACCGTTTCTGACTACTAGGTGCCTAGCACTTTACGTGAATGATTTCATTCAATCTGTCTACAGCCTCTCAGGCCAGGCACCAGTATTATTTCCTTTTTACAGATGAGGAGGCTGAGGCTCAAAGAGGATGGGCATATAGCACTAGAGGGGTGCAGCTGAGTCCGAACCCTCTTGCCCAGAACGTGGGCAGAGGCCATGAGCTCACCTCTTTGCTATGCTGTTCCCTTAGCAGGTCTCGGAGGGTGCGGTTGGTCTCTTCAAATGTGCTCAGTTTCTGCAGGAGAAGTTCCTTCTGCCTTGTCAGGGTGTTGATGTCCGTGCAGGTCATCTGTTTCTCCTAGAAGACAATCTGGCAGTCTCACAACATGCAGGGGGAGAAGGGAGGAGGCAGTAGAGAGAGGTGCTGTGGGGGACCTAAGAAGTGCTGGGTGCCAAGATGCCTAGGTAAAAAGAGCTGGGTGTACAGGGTCAAGGTAGTCAAGGGGAAGCTTCCTGGAGGAGGCAGAACTAACAGGATGGACAGGATCTGAGTCTGCTGCAAGAGGCTGTGAAGAGGACTGGAGAGCTCAGTATGGGCAGGTGTAATCAGGGCAGGCTTCCTGGAGGCAGCAAGGGAGGAAGAAGGCACCTGGTGGCTGATACCTGCAGGAATCAACCGCATGCCTTGACTCAGTATGATCCCAGGTGACCCATGATGCGGTTTCCTCAGAGGCCCTGGCCACCAGAGGTCATCTTCAAGAGGAGTATGAGTAGGGGCTAGGGACTGAGAATTCAAGTGTGCTCTCTCCCAGCATAGTTATGTCATAAAGTCAGCCTGATGACTGCACAGAGACCCCACCCTGCCTGGGGATGGCCCCTCTCCTGCCTGCCACCTACTGTTTTCAATTTCCCAATGGTGTCCTTCAAGGCCATGACTTGCTTGGCGGCAGCAGCTCCATCCATTTCAGCCTCCACCAGCTTGGACATGAGGCACTCCTTCTCCTGCTGGAGGTGTTTCTTCTGAAGCCTGGGACCAGAGAAAACAGGGCTCTGTAAGCCCTCGCAGGCTTCTGCCCACCCAGAGCGCCAAGGCTCACCTCACAATGGCCTGAGAGGCTCATATCCTAGTCAGGGAACAGTGGGGGAGTGGGGAGGCGGTCCTTCCAGCCCCAGTACCTTTTGGAAGGACAAGGGTCAGAAGTCACACCCACCTAGGCATCAGACCACGGCCTCCACACCAGGTGACATTATGCTACCTGTGGCTGTTTTTCTCTTAGATAGTCACCATCCTAGTTCTCACCACTGCCACCTCTCCCACCAGATGCTGCCACGGCCTCCTAACCACTAGCTTCAGATCCATTTTTGGGCCCTCCCATCTGCTCTCCACACTCCAGCCAAGTCCGGTCATGCCACTCCCCTGCTTTTAAAACCTTTCTTTGGCCCCCATGAAAACTCTTTACAGTGACCTCTAAGGGCAGGCCCCGGCCAACCTCTGTGGCACCCTTGCTCTCTGCCCACTTCCCTTTCCTCGGCTCTGGCCTGCTTTCCATTTCTGAATTGCAAACACTTTCCCACCTTAGAGCCTTCACACAAGATGTTCCCACTATCTAGCATGTTTCTGTCCCTGTCCTCACCATCCTGCAAGACTCCATTTAATGTCACCTTTTCCAGAAAGACTTCCTTCCCACCACACTCAATGGGGTCTTCCTTTTTCCTCATGGTGTGAATCACAAGTGCAAGGGGGTAATTCCCTATGCGACTGTGTTGAACAGCTGTCCCCCAGGTTAGACTGTGCTCCAAGACATAGAGGTAGTGCCTGTGCCTGTCTCCTCTGGAGCTAGGGTAGCCTGGCTCGAGAGAGGTGTGGAATGAAGGAATCAACTCGCGGGGCAGGGTGAGGCGCTGCCTTACATGGTGAAGTCCTTCTCCTCCTTGATGCGCTCGATGTTGTGCCTGAGCACTGTGTTCTCGTGCTCAGTCTCGGCCAGCTCTTGGGCCACCTCCTCTAGCTCCTCCTTCCGCTCCTCAAGGAACCGCTTGGCCATCTGGCGTTCACCCTTCTGCATCTTGACCTGCACAAGGACATGAAGGCAGGGACCAGTGAGGGGAGGTTCTTCCTCTCCACCCATCTCCACCCACTGACATGTCCATCACTTTGAACCAGAATAAGGGCACCTTCAATTTTGAGAGCGATGTTGCTACACAGGCCCTGCACCGGGTCCTCTATGGGAGCAATCTCAAGTTAATCCTCACAAAGCCTCTCTGGGTAGATACCATTCCTCTCCTCATTTTGTAGATGAGGAGACCAAGCAGAGAGGGTGAGCAACTTGCCCCAAGGTCACTCAGCTAGTGGGGATGGAGCCAGTATGGAAACCACGTGTGGTTCAACTAGCTACCTTAGGAGGGAAGATGTCATAAAAAGTCCCCTGCGAGCTGTAGGCTAAGGGGAAAGGAGGGGCTGTTGCCAGGCAACCAGCCCCAGGTTCTCCAGAAGGGTCCATGGGCCTGAAGCACAGGGTGGAGGATTAAAGACACAGGCCATGTTAGCAGTCAAGACCTGGATTTAATGCCAGATCTACCAACTTCCTTGGACATCCAGGTTTTGTTTCCAATTCCATTGCCATATCCCCTCCGAAGTGACAGCTAAGCAACTAAGGACAAATTTTCTTTGCCTCTTTGGGGCTGCTTTGGTGGTTGTTAAACTTTCTCATAAAATGGAGAAGTGAAGGCTGAAGCTTCCCAGTTACTTCAACTCTAAAATGGGGGCACTAATACCCCTAGCTTCATTTGCTGTTGAAAAAAATCAAATCAGGCCATCCATGTACAGCACCAGGCAAAGTAAGTGCCAGCCTTGAGGTAAGTGCTCAATAAAGAGGGCTGTTTATCATCATGATGGCATCTGGAGTTTTCCCCAACTACCTCCCCAGGGGCATCCAAAGTCCTGGGCAACCCTGAAGAGGATGGAAGGCAGCAGAGGCAGCCTGAGGGAAGGATCCACCAGGAACCCACTAGACATTCCCACACATCCACACATGCTAGCTGTCACAGTCCCCCACACCCCTCACCTCAGACTTGAGACAACCAACTGCATTCATTAGACTGTCAATCTTCTTATCATAATGGTTCATTTTACAGTGACCCGAATCGTCATCTTCTGTAGAGAGGTCACTTAACCGCATCACTGAGACCAATTTTTCTGAAGATGGTGGAGTGATCTCCAGGCAATGAGGTGGATTCTGACATAGAAGAAGGAGAGACACATGAACTCGTAAGGCAAAACCTCAGCCATCAGTTCCACCATGCCTGGTGGTCCACTGGAGGCTCACTTTATTAGGCAGGAAAAGCTAAATAAATGTCCAACAACAGGGACCCAGGGGGAGAAGAATACACTGCGCCCACCTGATGGAACATTTACCTACCCATGTTTAAATGACCTTTTTGAAGAATTTCTTACATAGAAAGCTTCATTACAATGTTAAGTTGAAAAAAGAAAAGATTATAGTAAATTAGCAAAAATAATAATAATATCCAAAGTTGGCAAAGTTTTGGGGCAATAGATGTCTTCTATTGGGTAGAAGTGAAATATGCTAAAAGTCTTTTCAATGAATAAGAATAATCAATGGTGGACTAATTATAAGCATGGACAAATCTGCTGTAAAAGGTAAGGAAATCTGAATACGGACCAGGTATTATATGATACTAGCAAAGCCCTGGTGGCGCAGTGGTTAAAGTGCCCAGCTGCTAACCAAAAGGTTGGTGGTTCCCACCCACCTGCCGCTCTGTGGCAGAAAGATGTGGCAGTCTCTTTCCGTAAAGATTACAGCCTGGGAGACCCTATGCGGCAGTTCTAGTCTGTCCTACAGGGTTGCTATGAGTCAGCATCGACTTGAACGCAGTGGGTTTGGTTTTGGGGATTATATGATACTAACAAATTAAGTTTTTAGGACTAATTATCATTATTTTGGTTGTAAAGAAAAATATTATTAGGAATGCATACTGAATTATTTAGGGGTAGAATGGTATTATGGTCTGGAAAATACTTTTAAAATACTTCAGCCTGAAAGAAATAAAGATTTCTTTTTAATGCATGTATCTCTTAGTAAAGTTTATGTAAAGCTGCATAATACTTTGCTTTTAGGATTCCACTGGGGAAAACAAAAGATACCATAATTTTGGAGCCAGGGTTTCCACAGATTTTTGATATCATTACCTTGACTCTCATTCTATAAATTTAATCTGATACATTAAGTCATTGCCACTTCTCATTACTGGCACAGCTTTTTGCCCTCTTCAGCTGAGGTGGCTAACCTTCTGTGCCGATTTCCAGAAGATGATGGCTATCGAGAATAAAAAGTGTTTAGTAGAAGTATAACTGTTAAATCTAACAAGTAGGACTCTCATAGGGTACGATTAAAAAAATGCACGTGCCTTTTGCCCCAGAAATTCTATTTCTAGGGATTTACTATGAATAACTAAGAATGTGAATCAATGTTTAAATTCAAGGCAAGGACACAGCTAAATGTATAACAAGATAGTATTGGTTAAATATATAATGGTACAAACATACACACAATGGAATGCTGCCTTGAAAAAAATGTGCAGTGTAGATGTAATCAATATATGTGAAACAAAAAAGAATGATATACATCAATAAGTAAAATATGATCCCATTTTTACAAAAATTAAAAAGAATGAATCTATTCATAAGAAAAGTTCAGGAAGGCTTCCCACCTAGAGTTTGCATAGGTCTCTTACTCGGGTGGCAGGATTAGAGATGTTTTTTACTTTCTTCTTTGTGCTGATTTGGATTTTTTAATTTTTCAACAATGACTATATATTACTTTTATAAGAAAAAAAGTTATTTTTAATTTTAAAAAGGAAGATAATAACAAATCTATAGATACCACAATTACCACTATAGTAAAAGAGAAAAACTACACATAGGCAAAAGTGTGATAGTAAATATAACAAAATATTAATAGTTTCAGAACAGTGGTTACCCTTGGTGTTGGAGGGGTAGGTGGTACCAGGAAAGAGACCAGAGGGGAGCTTCCGGGAAGCTGGTGATGTTCTGTTTCTGTTTGGGTGATGGTAACACAGGTGAAACAGGTATATTTGGTTTGTAAAAATTCACTGAGTAATGTGTAATGACGTGTGTACTTCTCTGTACTTTTCAGTAAAAAGTTTTTAAAACTTAGTAGTGGCCAGATTTGAGTAATAAGATTACAGGTAATAGTCTATTTTTCTGTATTTTCAACTTTTTGTAATAGAAGTAGACTGATTACCTTTAATAACAGGGAGAAGAAAAAAATCTAAACCTTCTTTCTCACAAACACAATCTGATGTACCAGATGGGATTTAAAAAGTCAAACAAGAACCACACATGCACACAGTGGCTTCTGGGCTCCATTTCCAGCTCCACCCCCAAACTTTCACCTCCTGGGGTCTTTCTCCTCTTTGTCTACACAACGGAAAGGATCCGGCTAGAGCCTCACAGGAAATGGGAGGTGGAAAAGGGCTAGCCCAAAAGAGAAAGCATGAAAAATAGCTACTGACTGAGCTGCTGAGAGATTGGACAAGTCACATATCTGGGGCCTCCATCTCCAGGATTCTGTAGCGTCAGGACCAAAAGTTGGTATTGAGCTTTCCAGAGGGGATCATAGCTCCTAGCAACCCATGTCAACAGAAAGTCAATTTCCATCGCAGCATATCTTTAATTTATATTTTGAAACTACCAAGTCTTTTCACTTTTTAAAAAGGCATTATTATAAAATGCATGCTTGCTATAAAGAAATTCAAACAGTCCATAAAAAATATCCCCCATACCCCAGACATAATCACTGCTTACCACTTCTGGTATATCCTTCCAGAAAATGTTATGCATAGACGCATACACATTAACACCCTTTTTTCAGCAAATAGGGTCAAACATGCTCTGTGGCTCTGTGTTTCCTTATTGTATACAAATATCTCACTCTTTGCAATAGCTGCAAGGTATTCCATTGTATGGATGTACTGTAATTTAACCAATATCCTCTTGACAGACATTTAGGTAGGCGCCAGTTTTTCTCTATTACAAGCAATGCTGCAGTAAACGTGTTTACATACAGATCCCTGCATTTGCATTCTTCTATGACTTTCTTAGGATAAATTCTTAGACGTAAAACTGCAGAATCAGTGTTTGGCTAGATGCTGCCAAACAACCCACTGGAAGGGTTGAACCAGTTTCACAGACCTACCAAAAGTTGCTAAAAAAAGTTCGCTGATCCTCCATATGTTTGCCAATACAAGTTATCTGGAATCTTTTAAACTTTTTTCCATTCAATAAAAATAATCATTCATTTTTGTTTTTAAAATACATAGTTGTTTTTAATTTACATTTCACTGATTATTAGTGAGGTTCACATAGTACAAAGTGTAAGACAGCATTTTAATTCCAATTGTTCTTGCATTTTATATATGTGTGTATATATATGTACATACATACATATACATACATACACACACACACACACACACACACACACATATATAAATATATATATATGCCAGAAGACTTTCCATTTATTCCGTAGAATACCCCATACTCCCTTTATCTCTTAGGGATAAATTGGTAAATCAAAACCATGAGATTATGACTACAAACTTCAGAATAATTACTTTTATTTTCGATTTCTAATTTTAAAAGTAATAAGCTATAAGAAAAAAGACTGAATCTTCCAAAAAAGACCAGGTATCATTATCTTAAAGTAGGCCAAAGTCCTTTACTTGTCTCAAGAATGAGAGCTTTGCATAAAACATGGCCAAAGGCTTTTAGCCTTCTCTTATCATTGAGTTTTACTATTGCCAATTGATTAGAATGTAAGCACAATGAGGGCGTGTCTGCCTGGCTCACAGCTGTACCTCCAGTTCCCAGAAGTGGCTGGTACGTAGAAGACTCAATAACTGTATGCTGCATGGATTAAGATGGATGGATGGATAGATAGATGGATGGATAGATGGACAGAAAGGCAATTCATGTTGAGGTGTGGCTAAAAAAAGAGACCAGTTCTTTTAGGCACCTTGAAACTAATACTGAAGTCACTAATTCCCCCAGGAGATTGTTCCAAAAATAGCTTTGATGGCATCCATGGAATGTGTACATGGTCTCCTATGTGTGGCAGAGTGTCTGGGTGAAAACCAAGGAACCTTGGATGACTACTTTAAAAGAGGCAATGCTTTCCCTGTGAGCAGCCATCTAAGATACTCCACTGGTCTCACCCCTTCGGGAGCAAGGGAGAATGAAGAGAACAGGATACAAGGAAAAGATTAGTCCAAAGGACTAATGGACCACAGCTACCAAGGCCTCCACCAGACTGAGTCCAGTACAGCTAGATGGTGCCCGGCTACCACCACTGACTGCTCTGAGATCACAACAGAGGGTTCTGGACAGAGCTGGAGAAAGATGTAGAATAAAATTCTAATACACACAAAAAAGACCAGATTTACTGGCCTAAAGGAGACTGGAAAAACCCCAAGAGTATGGCCCCAGGACACCCTTTTAGCTCAGTGGTGAAGTCACTTCCAAGGTTCACCATTCAGCCGGGGATTGGACAGCCCCATAAAACAAAACGGGACTAATGAGGCACAGCAGTCCAGGGACAAGGGCTAGAAGGCACAAGGGGACAGGAAAGCTGGTGATAGGGAACCCAAGGTTGAGTAAGGATAGTGTTGATACGTAGTGAGGTTGTTAACCATTGTCACAGGGCAACATGTGTAGTAACTGTTTAATGAGAAACTATTTTGTTGTGTAAACCTTCATCTAAAGTGAGAATAGCAGCACGATTGGAAGAGCGTAGTCAATGTCACTGAACTGCGCATGTAGAAACTTTTGAAATAGTGTATCTTTGGCTACGTATATTTTTACCGAAAAAAAAAAAAAAAAAAAAAAAAGGTCGAGAAGGGAGAGGGTTGACATGTCGTGGGGTTGTTCACCAATGTCATAAAACCATATGTGTACTACTGTTTAATGAGAAACTATTTGTTCTGTAAACCTTCACCTGAAGTACAACTAAAAAAAAAAAAAAAGGCAATGCTTTCTTGGATAAGTACTTTCTGGTATACATATATTTTTAAATTATGCTTCAAAGACTATAACAATTACATGGGGAAAGATATTATGTGGCTCCTCACATATAATCAGAGTGGCTAAGAATATAACCTCAGGAATGAGATACCCTTGACTCCTAATCGTGCCTCTGCCACTTCCTCTGTGAGACTCCTGACAAGTCACTTCATCTCTCTGAACCTTTGTTTCCTCATCTGTAAATTGGGATAGCAGAACCTACCACAGAGCAGTGCTGTAAGGACTCAGAAGACTAACGTATGTTCAGTGTCTAACATGGTCCTCAATAAATGGGGCCTGTTAGGAGACCTCTAATAGCTATAGCTGACCCTGAATCATACCGACTTTGAGGCCTGCTAGAATCTGACCAGTCCGAGAAGAAAAGCCTGAACGAGAATGAGCCTACCTCCCACTTGCATCCCACATGCCGGGCAGATGATTTTCCAGGGGGCATCCAAGGTACCTTGGTTTTCACCCGGACACTCCGCCGCACATTCACGGTGTCCCCTTTCATTCCGCGCTTATGAGATTTCTGTGGAAATGGACAAACCCAGGGTCACTTCCATGCATGGCTGGTTATGGCATCACTCTGGTGGCGTCCACCTCCAAACTGTGCAAGGGAGCCTCTTTTGACTAAGGTTACTGCTTCTGTTTCTGGATGACAGTTCTGCCTACCTTCCAACTGGACAACTGATCACCAAAAGACAGTGCATTTGTCTCCCAATCTTTTGAAGTTAAGAGCTTGAGGAGGCTGAGTGAAGGAGTGTTGCCCTAATCCACAGCCGTTACCTCGGCCCACTAGCATGCTCCTACCTGGCTGCTGGTCGCTGATGGTTTCGGGAGTTTTTTTATGTGGACGTGGACAGGGGTGTTCTCATCCACGTGAACATGTAAGGGGGGAGTTGAAGAGCGGTCTTTCATGGTTCACTTCTGGCAGGCGGGGGAGGACAACACAAAAAAGGTTGATCTGTGGATGAGTAAACTGGGCATAAAAATCAGCTCACAGCCTCTGAGGGCCACTGAAAGCCTAGCCACCAAGCGAGCAGGACAACTACCAACTACTGGCATGCAGGCGAGAACTGAGGCAGCAGTGCCATTCAGCAGGCTCCCACAGAAATCTCAGCTGAGGACCACTGGGGAGATTAGATGCATTCAAGAGAGGGGCCTGCGAGACTATGAGTTCTACAAAAGAGCCCAAAACCAGGCCCCAGGGCCCTCAGAGCTGAATCTCCTTTCAAGCCTGCTGGAATGCATAGCTCCTCCTGGGATCTGGTGCAGCACAGCTGGAAAGCAGATGGAGCCTTCTACATCATTATCTGACCTGAGCATGAGAATTAGCATGGGAAACACACAAAAAGGTTAGGATGCAAAATAAATCAGGCAGCAGACCAGTACAGGACTATGAAAAGACAGCTGGAGGAGATGCCAAGGACGAGAAGGTTGTGGTGTAGATTCTAAAGAAAACAAGAAAGGCAGAACCCCAGTGATGCACCCGTCCCCCACCACCAGCTCCTAGCCCCATTCTTTGTTGTTGTTTGCTTTTCCTTTTTTCCTGGGGAAAATCTGTTTTAAAGATTTTTGGTATGTGTCTGGAAAGATATGGTTAAGACAACTTCCTCATCTTCCGGCAGCCTCATCACAGGCAACAAAAAAGCAGAATATGTGTGACAGCACCTAGCGGAATACCCAGACCATGACAGGTGCCTGGCAGGGTAAGGCAGCTTCTAGGAAACATGTGCAGAAGCATTTCTGGTAGGGCCACAGACCAGAGAAGGCTGCTTCGTGTGCACATCACCTACCGTCACAGTTACACTGGGCGCTCCACAAGGTGTTCTTAAGACCTTTTTCTGCGTGAGACTCGTTACTCCGTTCTTCCCACACGATGGAAACCTGCACCCGGGCACAAGAACCAGATTATAAGCAGAAAACTAGGGCTTTCCTACTTCTTAGATCTTAGACCTCCTGACAATACACACTGCATATGGTGGCTAACAAGTTCACAGCTAGGAGAACCAGTCTGGAATTACTTGAATCCCTTTACACAAGCAACAAACATGCATGGTGTCCCCAGCAGTGGGATGGAAACAGGGGGTGATGGGCATTGGCATGGCTGGCCTTTTAACCTGCCATCGCATCACATGTATTATGACCTTTTGCTGAAAAGACCAGCTGTCATCCTGTCAGGTGACAAAAAGCAGGCAGCGCATGAGGAGCAGCCAAGGTACTAGCTTGGCCAAGCGTGAAAGTACCCAGGGCAGTGCCTGGAAAAGAGGCCCTAGACAGATGCTCAGTGAATGACTGACATAAGACAGAGCATTAGGCAGGCTCAGAAGCAAAGTCACTGTGACTAAAACTCATAAAAGTAAGACTAAGAACATGAAATATTAACCCAAATATTCCGCTCACTGACCTTTAAGCTCCTAAGAACCAGGTTTTTTGTTTTTCGTTTGTTTTTGATCCCATGTATAATTCACTTTGCTTATACATATACAGGCCCCATCACCAGATTTGTAAACACAGCAAATTTTAATCTGCTCCAAAATTTTGGCAGCAATACATCCAAGAATTCCAGGACGGGAAGGGACTTGGGAAGATCATTTGGTCCATCCCATTGCTTCCTGATCCAAACCTAATCCACTGCCGTCAAGCCAATTCCAACTCATATTGACCCTACAGGACAGGGCAGAACTGCCCCAGAGGGTTTCCAAGGCTGTAAATCTTTATGGAAGCACACTGCCACATCTTTCTCCCTTGAAGCAGCTGGTGGGTTCGAAGTGTCGACTTTTCCGTTAGTAGCCAAGCACTTAACCACTGTGCCACCAGGGCTCCTTGCCCTGATAGCCCCAAAATATTATCTTGCCCTCCCCACAAATGCTTGGGGAAAATAAAGCAACATAAAAATGCAACATAAAGACATTTGAACATTTTATGCACTTTGCTGTATATTATACCTTGATTAAAAAAAAAACAAAATTGTTATTGAGCCCTACTAATCAGTTAGCTGAGAATTACCAAATCTGAGAAGACAGATTTTCCCCACCCTCACAATATATCTGCTCACTAGAGGCCAGCAGATTTGGTAAATCTCTCCCTCTTTGGAAAAAACCACCTTGCTGAATGCTGCATCCACTGCCTACATCATTTGTATTTATTTACACCTGGCATCCTTTCAAAAAAGGATCTGAGCTTAATACTCCATTGAGACAAACCACTCCTTGGTGACCCTGTTTGCTACTAAGAAACTATGGCACCTAGAGAGAGAGGGAGGTGGAGATGGGATTGTGTGTGTGTTTCCCTCCTTCCCTTTAAAAGCAATTTTTAAATGTTTTGGTCCATTATTTCAGGACAAAGAACAGGGAAGCTGAAAAAGAGAAGCCTCCAGGAGCCCAAGCCTAGCCTAGGGGCCCTTGACCTCCTTTCCCTGCCCTACGGAGGAGGCGCCCCCCACACTGGCAGTAAGTACCTGGGGGAGCCGCCTGAGGATGAGGCAGACATGGCTAGGCACCAAAGCCACAAAGGTGGGCAATTGGGTCAGCAGGCTCTGCTCAGGGGGACCCAGAGGGGCTTGTCAATGAGAATAACAGGGGCCTGGCATCAAACGTCCTCTTTGAGGGGAGGAGGGTGGAAGCTTTGGGGGTGGCAGTTGGACGAAAACTTGGGAGGCGCTCCTCTACTGTCCAAGTCGCACAGCAACTGTCCTGCCAAAGTGGGGGGAGATAGGAGAGGCTGAGCAACCTGCGGGGTGGCTGGTGAGCAGTAGCGGGGGGGGGGGTTGTCACTCCCCTTCCCAGGGAGGGACGAGGGCGCGGAAAGACGCGGAAAAGGACCACCACGCCCAGACCCCACCCGGGGGTAAGGTGGTGGGCTACAAAGGGCAAAACCTGAGTTGCTAGCAGGCGTGTGAAGAGGGCGGGTGAGAACCACTGGGCCCCAAGTGGGCCCCAAGTGGGCCCCAAGTGGGCCCCAAGTGGGCCCCAAGTGGGCCCCAAGTGGGCCCCAAGTGGGCCCCAAGTGGGCCCCAAGTGGGCCCGGACCTGCGCAGGGAGCGGGAGGGATGTTCGGGGCGGGGCCAGGGCAACAGTCTCCTAGGAGAAGGGGCGTTCCCGGCAGAATAAATACCCTGAGAGGGCCAATAGTATTTGAAAGAGGGAGGAGCAGAGACTCCAAGCGAAAATGGGCGCTCCGCAGCTAGGCGGAGGGAAAATCCTCTCGGGCTCAGCAGGAGCTGGCTGGGAGTTAATAAACGAGTTAGAGAGGGTTAGACGCAAGGTTGTTCAGGAAGTGGGGCGGGATGCCCGGGTGAGGCCCCGTGGACGGGTAAACCCGCTCCAGCGAAGTTGAGAAGCCCCCAGGGGCGGTTCCCGGGGTACAGCGCTGCCTACGAGGAGCGGGTAAATAACTGCTGTGCGGAGATGAAATCCGGGCCGCAGGCCCGCTGGAAGAGGCGGACAAGGCGAAGACCACCGGCGGGCAAGAGAGCAAGGGGCCAGTCTCCGTTGGTGGAGAGGAGGGACGACCACCCACCAGCAGGCAGGAGGGGACCAGTTTCTGCCCATAGAGAGAAGGGCGAAGCCCTGCCAGAGGGCAACAGAGGAGGGAGGCCGGCCGGCCCGCCCGTTAGCGGGAGAAGGAGAAGTCCCGCGCCGGTGGGCGGGGCAGGGGGGCCAGATTCTGACAGGAGCAGGCCGTGCGCGCCAGAGGGCTGGAGGCGGGGGCGACCCCGGCGGGGTCAGGAGGACCAGGCGATCCTGGCGGAGGGCGACCGCGCCGGGGGGCGGGAAGCGAATGATCCTGCCCGCGGGGACAGAGCCAGGCGGCGGCCGCGGGGCGCCCCAGAGCGCCCTGGGTCCCGTCTGCCGGCGGCCTCTCACCAGGAGCGACACGGCTGCGCCCAGAAACGCCTCCTTATGAAGTCGTTGAAGTCGGAGGCCAGGGTCGTGCCATGGAGACGCCGCGGCGGATGCAGTCCAGCTCCAGCGGCGACTCCTCCCCGCTTCCGCCTTCTTTTCCGACACCCCGTCGGCAGCTCGCCCATTGGCCAGTTCAAACCCCCCCGTGAGCCGCTCGGGTTTCGCCATTTAGGCTCAGCCCCTGGCGTCACAGAGATGCCCCGCCCCACCAGAAGCTCCGCCTACTCCCGGGCCACGCGCTGCGTGGTCATGGAGACAAAGTGACACCTTCAGCAGGGACTTGCTGGGTCTTGTGTGCAAGGGTTGGCTTCCTGCGTCCGCCCGTTTTACCCCTCCTTAAGTCTTCCTGGAGTCTGAATAGATTCCACGGCTACTGATTGAGTGCTGCTCATCCCTATAACTTAAAGGTGCCTTAAGATTCGCTTACAACCTGCTCCCCTTGATAACATATTGGGAAGCTGAGGCTCAGAGAAGGGTCACAGTGGCCGGATCTCACACCTAGCCAGATTAGTTCACTCTGGGCTGGGCACTGGAAATCTAGACCTGTTCCTAGTCCACTATGAGTGCAGAGAGAGAGCCAGCTTCTGCAGACCACTCAGACTCCCTCCTTCTTCCACATCACCTGTGCCTTTGCCAAAAAAAGGGGAAGAGTCAGCATTCCCCTTGCTCGCCACCGCCCGTCTGCACACTGTGCTGCTGTGTGTACAGACCTGTCCCTTTGAGGTTCACGTTGGGCTGCCATCTTCCCAGCTCTGAATCACAGCCAACCAATCATGGGGGGCTGTCACGTGGCTCAAGGTGCCGCCCTGGATTCTGGGAGACTTTTAACACTCTCAGGGACAGCCCTTCAACAATAGTTGGCCTGTCAGTTTCTTGAAGTAGCTCATCTCCAATGACGTTCCTCACCACATCAGACACACATCCCTAGGGACACATAAGTGTTCCACCTGAAATCCTAAATTCCATCTTCCTCATCCCCAAATGGAACTTCTTTTCCGCCTTCTTACAGCCTAATGCCTACCATATTTGTTCTTCAACGGTAGGAAGCCCTCCACTCCCTTGACCCCTGTCATTTTCTCCCCGTTTAATAAATGATGGATCCCCAATCCCTGTTGTAACCCTACCATCTAGAGCTCTGCAAAGATCAAATCCACAGTGTGGAGGCAATGGTCTCCACTTTCAGCTGAGTCCTCAGCACTGCCCAGCAATTGTTCTATTTGTCTCTAGAAACGTACTCCCCATTGTAGCTTTTCCAAACCTTTGATTCTTCCCCATCCCATACCCAAATTCCTCGTTTCATAGAGAAAAATTAAGCCATCAAATGGAATTCCTTCAACCTTCTCCTAACCACCCCGTGCATCTTTAACTTCCCTCATCCTTAAGTCTTCCCATCACAGGAAGAAGATGTGCTTCTTGCTGCCCAAGATAAACTTCCTGCTTCAACAACTAGGTCAAACATCTTTGTAGAATGTCCCTTCTTATCCCCAAGACAGAATTGTTGATTTCTCAGTGTTCTCACAGTCACTGAACCAATGTTTATTAAGTCCCTACTATGGGCCAAGCAGGAGCCCTGGTGGCACAGTGGTTAAGAACTTGGCTGCTAACTGAAAGGTCAGTGGTTTGAACCCACCAGCCACTCCACGGGAGAAGGATGTGGCAGTCAGCTTCCATAAAGATATATACCTTGGAAACCCTATGGGGCACTTCTTGTCTGTCCTATAGGGTCGCTATGAGTTGAAATTGACTCGATAGCAGTCGGTTTGGTTTGGGTATGTGCCAAGCCCAGTGCCAAGAGTGCAAAGACCAACAATCCCATACAGGTCCTCAAGGAACTCATAATAGACCTTTCTAATATAATCAAACAAAATGATTGTTTTCCCCTTCCCACCCACTAAAGGGATTTTGCCTATGTGATTTCATCCTCTCCCCACTTCTGAGGAGGGTCCTACCCTGCCATTGCTGTTCTTTGGGGACTTCGTGATGGAGGATTCAAGAACAGACAGGATTGAGAAGTCATTCTGCACACACACACAGATACACGAGAGGTGGGTGAGAGAGAGGAAAAGGAAAGTAGTCTAGGAACAGAGAGGTATTAGGAGGGGGTTGCTGAAGACAGAGGCATAGAAACACCTATAGTGCGTGAAAGATGTGGGATGGGAAAGGGGAATTTTAACAAGTATAGCTGTGGTCTGTCCCTTTTGTGGTGTTTGAGAAGTGCAGGTAAAGAACTTGAGTTATTCTGACATTACTTTGGATTGCTGGACTATGTTTTCTGAATGCTAACCACCCTGCGCCTGACCAGTGGGTGATGGCTTTCAAAGCATTGCAGTCACTTTGCAATTGCACTAATAGAGGTGTGTACAAGGTCCAAGGAAAGAAGAAGAGGAAAAGGAGCCCCAGTCTGCCTGGGGCAGGCAGGAAAGTGTTCCCAGAGGTGATAGTGTTGGAGCTAGCCATGAAGGATGAGTAGAAGTTTGGCATACAGAGAAGCAGAGGTGAGAATTCCAAGCAGAGAGCAGCAGGTGCAAAGGTATTATTCCATTGAGGCATGAGATAATACATTTATTCAACATCAGTACTTGGGTCCCTTGAAGTGTTACAGGGACAGTTGTGAGAGAAGTCCTGCCAAGGTCAGCAGGACCAGATCATGAAGGGGCTGGCAGGCCAGGATGAGTTTTATCCCCCAGAGCAGATAAAAAAAGCAGAATGAACTCCATATAGATTAAAATAAATATATCTTATATAATTGATATATATATTTATAAGGATAAAACAAATATATAACTATTTAGGAGAAAATATAATTAGATATTTGGGGGTGAAGACCTTTCTATGCATAATGCTGAAGACAAAAACCATAAAGAAAAAAATCTAGAGATTTAATTACATAAAAATTTAAAACTTATGTATATAAAAACTTCTCTTAAACAAAAATAAAAAAGTCAAATTACGAAAAAATATTTTTAACGTATATAAGAAGTTTCACTAACCTTCAGATACACAAAGAATTCTTACAAATAAATAAAAACATAAACAGCCCCAAAGGAAAATGGGCCAAATATAAACCTGTTGCCCATCAAGTCGTTTCCAACTCATAGTAACCCTATAGGAAAGTAGAACTGCCCCACAGGGTTTCCCAGGCTATAATCTTTACAGAAGCAGACTGCCACACCTTTCTCCTGTGGAGCGGCTGTGGGGTTGGAACCATTAATCTTTCCGTTAGCAGCTGAGTGCTTAACCGCTGAGCCACCAGGGCTTCTCTAAGCCAAATATAGCAACAGGTAATTCACCAAAAAAGAAGAGGAAGAAGAAAGAAACACAAATGGCCAATACACAGTCTCACCAGTAATCAAAGAAATGCAAATGAAACCCACACTAAGAAATCATTTTTGGCCCATGAGATTGGCCACTTGTTTTTAAAGGGCAACACCCAACACTGACAAGGCTATTGGGAAGCAGACAGTCTCATTCATATATTGCTGATAGGTTTAAAAATTGATGTAACTTTTGACAGTACAGCTTGGCATCATATATCAAAAGTCTTGAACATGATCATCCTCTTTGACCCAGCAACTTCACTTCTGGAAATGTATTTTAAGGAAATAACCAAGGAGGTGTGCAAAGATTTGAAACCAAAGAGAAATTCCCTTTCAGCCCTTGTTTTCCTCAATGTGCTTTTCGTTGGACTGACCCTTCCTCATCCTCAGAGGGTCAAGTGGGTGGGAGACTTGGGGAAACAGAAAAAGGAGTCCTCTCAGGCTTGCCTTTAGGCTATAGCCCAGGCAAAAAGGATTCCATATGGTCCAGATTGGTGGATTAGGAGATTTTGTAGGATTTGGGGCAAAAGCTTCTCAGCAATAGGCAATATCCACCACCCATCTGTCAGTTTGTCGTACCATGATGGCTTGTGTGTTGCTATGATGTTGGAAACTGTGCCACCAGCATTTCAAATACCAGTAGGGTCACCCATGGTGAACAGGTTTGGATGGAGCTTCCAGACTAAGACAGACTAGGAAGAAAGGCCTGGTGATCTACTTCCAAAAATTAACCAATGAAAACCCTATGGATCACAGAATATTGTCCAATAGACTGCTGGATGATGAGCTCCCTAATTTGGAAGGCACTCAAATTACAGTGGCCTCAACAAAGAACTCCAACATGGTGCAGGATCAGGAAACATTTTATTCTGTTGTAGGGGTAAGCAACTGAATGACAACTAACAACAATAGTCCATATGCATTTATTTTCCCAGGGCATGCCCTCAGCGTATTATTTCTCTGTGGAACCTGGTGAAGTGCAGTAAAGAATAGATGGTAGTTGGGGCAGGGGGAGACTCAGGTTCCCAGGTCTCAGTACACTCAGGGTCTATCTAATCTGAGGCCTAATAAAAATAACTATTATTTGTGAAAGGATGAAAAAGTCTAGCTCCCCCATAAGTGATGCTAATATATATTAGAAGGAATACAACACAGCCATTAAAATGAGAGGTCTATTGCTCAGACGTAGAAAGATCTCCAAGATCGGAATAAATCTGTATCACTGAATAAAAAAAAAAAAAATGTAAAGGCAAAGAGCAAAACTGTAAGTAGAACAAGATGCCATTTTTGTATGAAAATAATTTATGTATGTTAATATATGTGTGTAATAAAATTCTGGAGGAATATTCACTGAACTGTTAGAACTGATTATTTCTGGAAGTTGGATTTGGAGAGATTTTCACTTCTAAATTGTAAATTTCTATAATGGTTAAATTTTTATTTAAAAGCATATATTTCTAGTCAGAATAAAATTAACAGATTGAAAACTTGTCAAAGATATTCATGATCTATTGATTGAAAAAAACAGGTTGTAGAACATTAAGTTCAGTATAACTCTAATTATGTGCTTAGAGGAGTTGGGGGGGATGTTGGTATAAATACATATAGAAAAGACTAAATTTTGGGTAGAGGGCAGATGGGGGTTTCTTTTTTTTTTTTTAATTTCCTTGTCTTTTTTTTTTTATTATTGTGCTTTAAGTGAAAGTTTACAGTTCAAGTTAGTTTCTCATACAAAAATTTATACACACATTGTTACGTGACCCTAGCTGCTCTCCCTATGACAGCAAACTCCTTCCTTCCACCCTGGATTTCCCATGTCCATTCAACCAGCTCCTGTCCCTTTTTGCCTTCTCATCTCACCTCCGGACAGGAGCTGCCCATTTAGTCTCATGTA